ACCATGCAAGCTGCTGCCTGTTGCCTGAGTGCCCAGGGGCTCCGGGTGCCTGTGGCCAGTGCCTGCCCACCCCTGGGGCTGGAGCAGGGGGCAAGGTACTGGGTGCTGCGCAGGCTGGGGGGAGTGGGGCGAGCAGGGAGGTGGGAGGGGAAAGCTCCGGCTTGGGTTTGGGTGAAGGCTGCGGTGCTGGGGACACTTCTGATCCCAGCGATCATGGATGGGACAGAGGGTGCTGGCACCCGGGCAGGGCTGGGCGGGCGAGTGAGGCTGTGGGCGAGCAAGGAAAAGAGGAGCGGGCCAGGGTGAGCGGCTGTGGTGCTGAACCTGCTCTCTCTCCTAGAGCCCTTCCTCTCTGGAGACCGTGGCTGCCCCGAACCCAGGAGGGACCCGCGACGCGGCGGGAGGAGACGGACCCTGTGAGTTTGGCACACCCTGCTGTGTCTGTCCCCATGAGGTTGGGGTCTCTGCTGGCAGAACACTAGCCTCTCGCCCCAGAGAGTCACCCGGGAGTCCTTTGTCCCACGGCTGTGCCATGTGCACCTCCCCTGGAGCATCACCCCGCGTCCATGCAGTCCCCGGGGCAGGGCCAGGCTGAACCCCCCCGGGGGGACACGGCCACCACAGCCCCCCAACGGGAGCCTGAAAGGGTCGCCTGTTCCCAGGCTGGGCGGGCATTCCTCAGGGGGTTAGTGGGATGCCTGGGCACCAGCTCTTGAGCACGGGGGAGAGATTACCCTGGCAAAAAGCCTGTCAGGAGGGTGTGGGGGTAGGTGCCAGCTTCCCTGCGGTGGCGTGAGTGCCTCAACTTGGCGGCAGGGGAGGGGGGAGCTGCTGGGTGTGTGGGGCGCCAGCACAGGGCATCCCCGGTGTCAGCACAGGGCACCCCGATGCCAGCACAGGGCATCCCCAGTGCCGGCACAGGGCATCTCGATGCCAGCACAGGGCATCCCAATGACAGCACAGGGCATCCCGGTGCCAGCCCGTGCGCCCTGCGGGGAGGGCAGCGGTAGCCCCGGTACCACCCAGCCGTGTCTCCCCAGGCTCGGGCAGCGGAGGGGGACGGCGGTCCCGGCAAAGCGCTGGCGTTCTTCCAGCACCCAGTCAGGTACGTGCCCTGGCACCGGGGCCCGGGCGGGCGCGGCGGGCACGGCGGGCAGGGCGCTCACCCCCGGCTCTCCCCACGCAGGCTCCTCTGGCCCAAGTCCAAGGCCTTTGACCACCTGTACAGCGTGGGGGAGAAACTGCTGGAGAACTTCCCGGTGCAGGCCACTCTCTTCTTTTATGAGGACTCGGGCAGCGAGGAGGAGGAGGAGGAAGAAGAAGAAGAAGAAGAAGAAGAAGAAGAAGAAGAGGAGGGGGATGATGAAGAGGAGGAGGCGACACGAGATGTGACCGCGGGACACCCGCGGTATGCTGGCAGCCCCGGACCTAGCAGGCCGGCGTGAGGCAACGGGCAGGGGAAGGCAGACAGCGTGGCGTGCGGCAGCGGGGCCAGACCCCCGCGAAGCTCCTACCAGCTCCCGGGGCCGTCCCCGGGCCGCGCCCGCGCTCCGCGGGACCACGGCGGGGCTCAGGACTACGAGTCCCAGCGGCCATCGCGGCACCAGCCGGCAGCCACAGCCCGCTCTGATTGGCTGGCCATCCACCCCGAGCTGGAAGGGGAGCGTGTGGCCCCGCCCACGCCCCGCAGCCCCATTACAAGAGGAAGGCGGCGCGCGCGGGCCGCGAACGGGTGCGATTGGCTGAGGGCCGGGAGGGGGCGTGTCGGGGGCGGGGCCTGCCCTCCCCTGCCCGTCGGCGGGAGGGAGCGGCTGCGGCGGGCGCGGGGCCGCCATGAGGTACCGGCGGGGACCGGGGTGCGGCTGCGGGGCCGGGGGGAGGGAAGCGGAGCCGTGGGACCGCGGCTGCGGGGCTGGAGCGGGAAGGAAGGGGCTGGTGCCGCGGAAGGGGGAGCCGGGAGCCCTGGGACTGGCGTGGCGTGTCTGGGCGCGCGGCGAACGGCAGAGCGGCGGAGATGAGGGGGATGTGTCGGTAGGGCGGAGGGTGGGGCTAGAAAGACCCCGCAGAGCCGGGGAGGTGGGCTGGGAGACCCCGCTATGGGGTGACAGGTGACATGGGTGTCTCTGTTGTAGGGTGACGGGAGAGCTAGAGGACCCCGCTATGGGGTGACAGGTGAGCTAGGGGACCCTGCCATGGGGTGACAGGTGAGCGAGGGGACTCCGCTATGGGGTGACAGGTGAGCCAAGGTACCCCGCATGGGGCGACAGGTGAGGAAGGGGACCCCACTGTGGGGTGACAGGTAGGCTGGGGGGCTCTGCCATGGGGTGGCAGGTGAGCTGGTAGTCCCTGTTTTGGGGTCACAGGTGAGCTGGGGGTCTCGTCTCTGGGGGTGACAGGATTGAGGGCTGTGCCGTGGAATGGCACTGAAAGCTGAGGAGGGACTGAAAAGCCACTGCACACCTGGGCAGGTGGGCTGGGGGTCCCTGCTGCAGGGTGACAGATGAACTGGGGGGTCCCTGCCGTGGGGCGCAGTGGGGATGATTTGGAGTTGGGTTTGGGCTGGGGGCTGCCAGGGCAGCGTGAGGACCAGCCCGGGAGCAGGGTGGGGTGTGAGGGCTGTTTTGGGAGGGCGAGGCTTCCTGCCCTGTCAAGCGTAGCCGGTGTAGCCTCTTCTCCTCGCCGTGGATCTTGGCACGGAAAACCCCCAATATTGCTGGGATCCAGCTGAGCCGCTGGCACCACGGCTACGTGATGCTGGCACAGTCAGCATCCTCCCTGCTGCCGTGGCGCGTCGCTGGGGGCTGTGGATCCCCCCGAGCCGTACCTGTGCCCCCCAAGCCTGTCGAGGAGGTGCCACCTCCCAGTGTAGACCCCCAGGTCCCCTCGGGGTCCTCGGGGGTCCGGCTCCACACTCACACCGTGTTTTCCCGGCACGATTTCCTCCTTTGGCATCAGTGACGGGAGCGGGGGCGGAGATGGGGGGAGCCTGGGGGAGACACAAATGTGCGACTGCAGCATCCTCCCTCCCATGGCTGCATCCCTCGCGCCTCCTCACGGTTGCCTTAGCAACCTCCTATCGATGGGGTATTTATAGAGGATGAGAAACCGGAGGGGGGGATCAGGAATGGGTGGGCGTCTGCTAGGTCAGCCTCCAGCTTCAGGCTTCTTTCAGCTTGCGTGGGGGCAGGAGGGATGCTGCTCCCCTTGGCGTCAGCGTGTGCAGTGCTCCAGCTTCTCCTGCTCGCTGGAGCCAGGAATTTGCATGTGGAAATAAAAATAAGCATCTGGGGCGTCTGCCCTTCTCACCGGCACTGCTCGTGCTTGGAGGCTTGTGTGCACCTCCCTGATTGTGGCACTGGGTGCATTGACAAAGATACATGGAAGAAAGTCAAAGAGTGTAAATTAAATTAAACAACATTAAATTTGTTGCCCGGTGTGTGATGTGAGAATATCCTTCTTTCTGTGTCTTTGTTCTTCTGTCCATCAGAGGGGGAGAATGCTTGTAACAACGAGGGTTTGTGTGGAAACTGTGGCGTGTTCTCTGTGGTGTGCTTTCTTCTATCCTGGGGCTTTGAGTCTCTTTGTAAAAACTGATGACAGCAGAAGTGGGTCAGGTGGTCCCTGCTCAGAGCCTCTGGGGGAATTCATGGATCTCTCACGTCCCCCAGAAGGGCTCAGAGAAGCGGGATTGAGCTGTGGGGCACTGGAGGCAGCAGACCCCTCCCATGTACTTCTGGTGCTCTTCTGCTTTTCCTCACTCTTGCTTCAACTCCAGACTGAGGTTTGCAATCTGAGCTTCCCAGACTGCTGGGAAGAAGCTGCTTTCTCTCTCTGGACACAGCTCCAGGCTTGCATGCCCTCTTCCCACTTCATGATGTAGGAACCTTGGAAAGCACAGCAAACCTGATGTTGGCAGGGAGAGGTGCTCCATTTACTGGAAAGTGGCTATTGTGAGGTGTGCTGGTGTGCAGCATCAGCCCTTCTGTGTGCCTGCCTTTTATGTGAAAAGAGAGCTGTGTTTCCAGCCCTGTTGACCCTGTGCTGTCCATGACCTCACTCCAGCAGAGTAGATCCAAGTGCTTTTGGAATAACTAGATATCTAAAGTCTTTGGCCAGAGACCAGCATGTGGTTTAGTTCCTGCTGTTTCTAACCATGCTTGCTACTTCATCTGCAATAAATCCCTGTAGGAGCTGGGCAGTCCTGTCCTGTCTGTCTCCTGACGGAGTTGTGGCTTTGCCACAGCAAGTGTCAGACGCAGCAATAGTCAGCCCAGGGCAGTCTGATCCGCGGGGCATTAAGCACAGGGAGAAGACAAAGCATGGAAAACAAGCAGATATTCTCTGCTTATGCAGGGCTTTGTTTAACTTCTGTGGGGTTTTGTGTAGTTTAGTTTTGGTTTTGAAGCACAAAAGGTGCTTGTCCAGCTGGAGAGCTGTTGTCCTGGCTGTGCAGGCAGCTCTGTCATTCTTGCTGCTGCCCTTAGCTTGGCCCAACAACCAGATTGTGGGTAGGAGTTGCAGAAATGAGAACTGGCACGTCTGTGAAGTTGGTCTAAAATAAGATGATTGCTTCACCTGTATCCATCAATCTCTTGTGGAAGGGCTGCTCCTAGCAGATCATCTCATCTGCTGGTGAGAAATGGAGTCTATCCTTCATCCAGTTTTTCCATTCCTATTCCGCTGGTCTGCAAGGGCCCTGCTTCTTCCTGGGACCTGCCCCAGCACTCTGGGAGCTGAGGGTGCCCTGAGCCCCTCCAGCCCCTCCAGGCAGGTGAAGAGTGGGGAGGCAGCTGGAATCCTTGTCTCGCTGCAGGGGCACTGCTTGTCTGGGTGGGATCTGTCGTGGGTTCACCACTCAGCACCATGTCTTCTGCATGAATCTGATCCTGGGTGATGGAGGTATGGGCTTTGAAACTGGGCTGGAAATTTAAGCTGTCAGTGACTCTCCTGTTTTCTTCCCTGCAGGTAGGCAGGAGCCCCCCTTGGCCGAGTGAGGCAGCATGGCAAGTAAGTGCTCCCCAGGAGAGGTGGCGGTGATATTGGAGGACAGAAGGGGGATGTTTGACAGCTACCTCTCAAGAAAGAGGCGCTTGTGCATTTTGGGGGGTGTTATCCTCTGTGGGGAGCAGCTGCCATTGGCTGTTGGCCCCGGGTGAGGTCTGAGGTCTGGCCTGACTTGTGCTTCTCTCTCCCCTCTGCAAGGTGGGAGTCGAGAGGAGGTGCTGGAGGTCAGACCTCTCTGGGACTACCCGGAGGCTGCAGCATTTCTGTCTCTGTGTGGTGCTTGCTGTGCAGGACAGGCTTCCCCAGGGCTCTCTGGGCTGCCTGTCTGTGCTGATATCTCCTATCAACAGTGCTCCTCATGCCCATGACTGGCACCCTGCCAGTGCCCACTCTGGGGGCCACACTGCCCTGTGTGGCCAGTGGCACCAGGGGCTCTGTGTTCTGTGGAAGCTGCCGAGTTCAGCCCCACTCCGAGCTTGCTGTGGCACACCCAGAGCAGTGCTGGGCCAGCATTAAACATGGGCTGAGCCTAGTGAGGCTGCAGAGGGGTTTGTGGTCTGTCCAGAGCTGGGCTCAAGCCTCCCTCCTCACTCTTCTGGGCAGCCTGCATGGAGGCTGTGTGCCCCGGTGTGATGGGAGCGTAAGGAGCATGGCTGTAGTGAAGGGGGAGATGGAGAGATCTGCCTGGGATCTCAGGATTTGCTTGGAGTGTCGCCAGAGCCAGCTGTGATGGTGGAGGCAGTAGCCACGCTGGGGAGGAGGAGGAGGACCCCAGGGATGACAGGTATGCCTTCTTTCATTATCTGTGCTGTGCTCGGGGCGGGAGGGAGCAGAGATCTTCAGGCAGTGTTTTTAAAAGGCTGCTTTAATCTTCAGTTAATGAGGAGGGTGCCCAGCTGGGTCCCTGCCTTCTTCCACTGCTGCCTTTTCTCCTTCCCAGAGCTCAGGTGCTGGCTCACCAGCATTTCCTGGTGGTGGAAGGTGTCCCCTGCCAAGCTGTCCCCTTCGTGGTGACCCTGATGTGCAGGAGGGGATGTGGTGGTGGGAAGGTTCTCCACCACAAGCGCCCTGCCATCCCTGGCTGTCCCTCTGCAGGTAGAGCCACAGTCCTTCCCCAGAGAAACAGCCCCAGGGTGTCCCCCCCGAGCAGGGCAGCTGAGACATGGGGTGGTGTCCACCAGGAGCCAGCAGCACCCCAGGAAACCCAGCAGGGATGAGGTGAACTCAGCTCTTGCTCCTGCTTCCCCTGCCTAAAGCTCTGATCTTTCCTGAGCACCAGTTCTCCAGCTGGTGTGGGGAGACTTGGAGAGGCACAGGGGAGGAGCATGGAGGCTGCTGGGCATTGGCAGGTCCCCTCAGCCCTGTGGTTGGGGGACAGGACCTGCTTGGCTGCCTGCTCTTCATGTCAGTGGGGGATCCAGTAGGGATGAGAGGCTCATTTCCTGAAGGCCAGTGGTTTTCCTGCTCTGGTCCTGAGCCACGTGGGAGCTCTTTGCACTTTCAGGAGGAGGGAGCAGTGACTCAGTTTCCCGTCTCCTGCCATTTCTATGTCCTTGAGGGAAATTGCATGTGGGGAAAAACACACACCTCTGTCACAGCATGCTTGCAGTTGGGACAGTGCTTGTGATACCTGCCTGCCTGTGTGTCTGTTTTTATTTCCTACCTTAGTGGCCAGCTCAGCATGGCAAAGCAGGGAAGGGGTCCAGTGACTGCTTTCTGCAGGGATGGAAAACCCTGACAGTGAGATCTGCAGCCAAGCTTGTTGCTCTAAGATGTGCTGAGGAAGTTGAAATCCGAGTCTCAGGCTCAAGTGCCAAGGAGGGGACAGTTTATACCATGGCCTGATCAAGGTGGGAGGCAAAGGAGGTGAGGCCAGACTTCTCCAGCAAAGTACGGGACATTTGCAGAATGAATGTTGTCTTTGTAAAATTTCATCTCCTTCTGGAAAGGCTCAAGACAAGGTCAGCCTCCCAGCCTGTTCCCTCTCCAGCCAGGATAGCTCTCCTCAGCTGTGAAAGCCAAGGAAAGCTGATCCCTGCCCTTCTGCGAGATGCCTTCTGTGCCTCTTGAAAATGCTTTTTCGGTTGTCCTTGTAAAAAAAAAATGGTTTGCATAATAAAGTCGATTCTGAAGGAAGATCTGTGACTCACATCATTCATGCTGCTCTTCATTCACACCTCAGTGGTTCAGCCCTCTGCAAACTCTCACAGAAGCAAGGCATTAATAAATCACAAGGGGAGAATGCACCTACGCAGCACAAAAGCAGCTCAGTGCCTCCAAGCCCAGGATGGTGTAGCAGTGTAGTAGTTGTTTCTTACACCATGATCCTGTTGATATTTCCAAATACTCTCACACATACGTTGCTATATTGTTTCAGCAGCAAGATACATGGAAGGTAAAGCAGAAGGAAACCTGCCTTTCTCCCTGGCAAAAGGCTCCAAAGGAAAGAAGTTGGTGGCTTTTCACTGACTGTTTTGCTTGTGGAGCCAGTATTTTGTTAGCACCAAGCTGGTCAGATGGGAGATTCTGTCCCCCTGCCTCCTTTGATGCTGCTGCTGTTTGAATGGGTTCACCTTGTTGATCCAGTGGAAGACTGAGCCTGAGGGTGAAGGAAGTAAATAGGTTCATATGGATCACCCAGCTGAACTGATTCATCTTCCCAAGGGAAGCAGCAGGATTTTGTGGCTTGGTGGGAAGAGCTGGAACCAGCCTACAGCTGAGTGTGTTGAACTGCCTCGTGGAAACACTCATTCGTGAAATGCGTGTTTGGATCCTGGAAGGATCATGTTTTGTGTAAAGTTTCTGCTCTCTAAACAACAGCTTCTTTGCCACCTGTGCTGCTGCAGGTCCTGGCAGGTGCTTGCCTCCTGCACCCCATGGAGGTGTCCCTCCTGCAGAATATGGGGGAGAGGCTTTGATGTTTCTTGCAGGCAGGAAGGTGCTGTTCCTGCTCTGTCTGGCTTCAGGACTGCATGTGCTGTGGGAAGACTTGAGGAGTCTTCCAGGCTTTAGGAGCAGAGGAAAGTTTGTGAGGCCTCTGCATCAAAACACAGTGGGGATGAGAATGTGATGCTGTGTGAGGAGAGGTTGCTCCAGCCCCTGATTCATAAACCCCTGTGCCGTCCCTGTGTTTGGGGAATGTTTGCCCTTGTTGTTCTGGGCCTGGGAAAAGACAGTGGTTTCTCTGGGGCCTGAGCAGAGTCTTTGATGCCACCTGAGCTTGCATGACCCCTGAGCAGCTGGCAGCAGGGACTGCAGCTTCCAGCAGGCTGTGGTGTTGAACTGTGTGCTCTGAGTCCCTCTCGGTGCTGGCCCTGTGTCCTGGCAGAGCTCTGTGTCCCAGCCCTGTGGAGTCTTGCTCTCCTGGTGGGATCTCTCTTGCCCTGCAGCAAAGGGGCAGAAAGATGAAATCCATCAGGGGCAGAAGGTTGGTAACAAATATTTTTGGAGCCTTTTGTCTCTTCCTCAGTTGCCCTAAGTGGCTGCAGCTGCCGCTTCTGATGTCTCTAGCACCTCAGTCCTGAGAGGAGGGCTCCTGGTGTCATATGTCTCTGGGCAGACCCTCAGAGTCCTGTGCCCTTTTGGCTGTCCTGCCTGCTGTCCTACCTGATTGTAGCCCTGTTTTTTTGGTGTTGGGGATGCATGCAGCATCAGGAAGCTGGGTGGGAAAGCTTGGCTGGGCAGAGGGCAGGTGTGGGGCTGTCCCTGCTCAGAATGTCTCTGCCTTGTGTGTTACAGTGTTCTTGGGGGCCAGGAATGCCCATTCGCTCCTGAAACGCTTTCCCAGAGCCAATGGCTTCCTGGAGGAGATCCGGCAGGGCACCATCGAGCGGGAGTGCATCGAGGAGGTCTGCAGCTACGAGGAGGTCAAGGAGGTGTTTGAGAACAAGGAGAAGACGGTGCGTGTGTCCTGCGCTGCTCCCCCGTGCATGTGGGAGGGCTCACACCTCCAGCTAGGCTGGAGACAGAAGGAAAGCACAGGGGGAATAGCCTCTCCTGTTTCTTTTGTTCTCTTCTGGCTGCAGGCAGCGTGTTGTGGCCTCACTTCCCAGCATGGCTTTCCTTTCCCAGGAAATGGCCTCACCTTGCTTTTGCCAGGACACCCTGCCCACAGCTGCAGGTTGAGCTAGCACTCCCAGGGCATGTGTGGCAAATCTGTGCTGTAGCCCATGATTCTCTAGGTGTGGAGTAAAGTTTTCCCAGCTTGGTGTGGGAGCTGTTGAGGGATGTTCCCAGGAAGTTCTGTGTTGGTTCCCACAGGTTGAAGGGGTGGGGGACATCCAAAATGCTGTGCCCCTTTTGTGGGGCTGGGGAGGGCAGTGATTATTGCTGGTGGTGGTTGGGGTCCTTCCCCCACCTGCAGCACGTGATGGTTGTTCCTCTGTTCCTGTTGCAGATGGAGTTTTGGAAAGGCTACACCAGCTCTGTGTACTCTGTCAAGGACCCCGGGCACAGCACGGAGCGCTCTGACGCTATGTACGTGGTGGTGCCCCTCTTGGGAGTGGCTCTTCTCATAGTCATCGCCCTCTTCATCATCTGGAGGTGCCAGCTGCAAAAGGCCACCCGCCACCGCCCTTCCTATGCCCAGAACCGTTACCTGGCCAGCCGGACGGGCCGCAGCCTCCCCAGGGTCATGGTGTACCGGGAGCGGTCGCAGAGCCAAGGGGAGACCCAGTACCAGCGGGAAGCCAGCAACAGGGGGGCTGGGGATGGCAGAGCCGGGGGCACCCCCCAACCAGACAGCACCCTCTGCCCACCTGAGCATTCTGTCTCCGTCCTCTCCAGACTGTCCAGTGCCACCCCCCCGCCTTCCTATGAGGAGGTGACGGGCCACCCGGAGAGCAGCAGCGGCGAGGAGACCAGTATCTCCTACAATGAGCCTCCGCCCAAGTACGAAGAGATCGTGGCCACGGCCCCTGCCGCGGTCAAATAGCGGGTCTGCCTCCCTCCTGCCTCTTCACACACTCACACTCACCCAGCCACCCTCCCTTCGCCGTGCCTGGGACCCCCTTCAGGTGTCCGTCAGGCCCCCATCTCACCTGTACAATCTGGTGCCATCACACAATAGCCTTACCCTCCTAACCAAAAATTGCTGTCCCCAGGTGGGGTGAGGCAGAGCTGTGGGATGGCTCTGGAGCCAGCCAGCCATCTCCTGCCCCTCACTCTCCACTCACATAAGTGCTGTAGCAGCCAGAGCAGAGCAGCAGTTTGTTCCTGGCTCAATGCAGGGGTCTCCCCATGGTGCATTTGATTTCCTCACTTCCCCCTCAAACAGACATAACATTTCCCATGATTAGAGCAGCCTTGCTGCTTCCCTGGGCTGCTGCTCAACCTCACTGGGCCCTGTTGTACTGCTCAGGGCTCTGATCAGGTGATGGAGATGCAGGATTTGTGTGGCAAATTTTTGTCCATCCCTGCAGTTGGTGGGGCCTACTCTGTGGGGAGATGGTGCTTCCCCCAGGTGGATTTATTGCCAAGTGGGAGTGGGGAGCCCGGTCCACGCTGTGGTGCCTGTAGTGATATTTGCTGTGTGGAGATCAGGGAGGAGCAGTCAGGAAGGTGCTCTCTGATATCCTAGATCTCTTTAGAAAGGGAGAAAGGGCTCGTGGTGGTCTTGTACTTGAGGTAAGTGGCTTTGGAGTAGCAGAGCCTTTTCTTGGTGCTCTATGCTTTCCCCTTGTGGGTGCTGAGCAGCTGGAGGTCTGGTTGCTGCAGAGCTGGCCAAGGAGGTTGTCTCTGACCCCCAGCCAAATGTGGTCTCAGGGCTTTAAGTGATGGGGATTGAACACTCTCCTGGAGCGTGGCCTGGCTGGTGTCTGCCCCAGAGCTGAGAACCTGCAGACAGGCCAAACCTCTCCTCTCCCTACCCCAAACCTCTCTGCCCTGCCTGGCCCCTCTCTTTGGGGCTCTTTGTCCTCCAGAGCAGCTGAAGTGGAATGCAAGCCCCCACTCTCTTCCTGACCTCTCAGATGGGCTGAGTGTTTGGTGTCCAGGGCTGAGGCATGGAAGTCCTGCTGACAGAGGTGGGAGCCACAGGACCATGCCTCACAGTCAGGTGCAGGGCCAAGCCCTGCTCGGGTGGTTGTGTTGCCAGGGCAGGGCAGAGCCAGGTGTTTTGCTGTGGGATCAGTGTCCCCTTTCCCTGGGCAGCTGCCTGTAGGGTCCAGGCAACAGGACTGTCCTTTCCCAGTCAAGTTTGATGGATTAATTAATACAAGGGTTTTGCTCCAACCTCCCAGAAGCAGCCCAGAAACTCCCAGCACTGCCACCACCCGGTGTTCACCCTGCACCAGCCTCCACCAGCACCAAAAGGCTATTGTCCATCCATCAGTGGCCTGCATCCTGCCCGGCCCCAGTGATGCTCTCACAGCTGGTGCCCTCAGCCCAGATCTGAGGCTTGCCCGGCGTGGCTGCTCCTGGGGCAGGACATGCTGGCACCTCGTCTATCCCCTCCCCAGCCTTAGCAGGTTGGGGTTATGGGGAGACCTGACAGCGAGCATCAGAGCCCAGAGAACACTGGAGGGAGACACAAGGGTACTCTGCATCCTGTCTTTGATGCTCGGTCATTATCCCTGCAGTTTGTATTCTGTAAAACTTGGTATATTTCTGTGCAAAAAAAAAAAAAAAAAAAAAAAAAAAGGTATTTATTAAAAAACCCTCACTGTCTGAGTGGCACAGGGTGGCTTTTTCCCACAAAGAGTGTTGTGGGGGACAGCGACACCAATAACCCCTGCCATGGCTGCAGGACCGTCCCCAGTGAGGATAGGAGTGTTTGGGAGTGAACTCCATAAATTCAACTGGAGCCTTGAACTTCACCTGGGCATGTGGTGCTTCTGAAAAATCTGAAGGGTGTCCTGCGAGCCCCGAGCTGCCAGCAGGTGAGATGCAGAAAGGTTTTCTGAGGGTCTTTGAGGGGATTGAGGTGCACAGGTTGTCCTGCTGTCCTCTGTGTGCTCCTAAACCCCTTAGATAATCCCCTTTAAATAGCAAGACTAGGGCAGCGGGGGATTTATTTTAAGTCCTTTCAAACCCAGATTTTACGGTCAGGTCTTGGACCCCGTCCCCATTCAGAAGTGTTTAAAACTGCCGTTAATCCCAAAGGGATCATTTTATCTCTGCGGAGGGGCAGAGATTAGCTCCGGCACAGGGCGGCCCGGGGGCTGCAGGATTTGCCCGCAAACATCCCGGGGATGGGGACACGGGGAAGGTCCTGGATTTGGTTCTGCACCTGGAGAGAGCAATCCCTGTGTTCCAGCAGGGCTGGGGACAGGAGGGCTTCCGGGGGAGTCACAACGCGTTAATTACTGGCTGCGGCTTTAAAAGAGGAGGGAGAGGCTGGACACCGGGACAAGGGCTGGACACCGGGAAAAAGGCTGGACACCGGGGGCAGGGCTGGACACCGAGAAAAGGGCTGGACACCGGGGGCAGGGCTGGACATCGGGACAAGGGCTGGACACCGTGGGGCAAGGCTAATTACCGGGGGGTCTGGGCTCATTACACAGGCGCCGGGCTGGTTACCGGGTGACCTGGCTCTTTACCAGAGGGCCGGGCTAATTATCGGGGGGCCGGGCTCATTACCGTGGGGCCGGGCTCATTACCGGGGGCCGGCCTAATTACCGGAGGGGCCGGGCTGACCCGCTGGCACCGCCCCGTCCCGGCAGCGGGCGCGGCTGTTTACAGGTCCGGCAAGTTGCGTGTGTCTGCGATAAAAAGTAAGTGTCCCTCCCCCGTCCTGCAGTGTCCCCTTGTCCGGAGCTCTGCGGGCCGCGGGGCAGGGCCGGGATGGCCCCACCGGGAGGGACCGGGACCCCCCTGTGCCTTCCCCGGCCGGGTCCCCTCCCGTGTGTCCCCCCAGCCCCCCGGGGATCAGCGCCCGGCGTGCCCGCAGCCATCCCGGGTGAGGAACCCCATCCCTCCCGGTGTCCCCTCTCTGCAGGGACAAGGCTCACCTCGAGCTGGGTGACGAACCCCTTCTCTCCCGATGTCCCCTCTCTGCTGGGACAAGGCACATCCCCATCCCGGGTGAGGAACTCCTTCCCTCCCGGTGTCCCCTCTCTGCTGGGACAAGGCACATCCCCGAGGCAGAGCTGGGAGCAAACTCATTCCTCCTGCCAGCTCCCTAACCCCCAGAGGTGAACGGGGTGTTGTTTTGGTTTAGGGTAAATTTGGGAGGAAATTTTTGAATGGGATATTTAAAGGAAATAGATTTATGTATTTATTTTTTTTAAATTGGTTTTGGGAAAATATTTTTTTTGGAGAGAAAAAATTGTTTATTTAATAGGTAAAGTATTTTTTAGTATAAAAATGAATAATATTAAACAGTAAATTTTTGTTGTTTTGAAGAGATGATAGATTTAGAAGAGTTTTTTTGCGGGTTGTAGTTTGGTTTATTTAGTTTTTAGTTTTTTGGTGTTGGGAAATACTGTGGTTTAGGTTAAGTTTGGTGGGTTATAGGTGTGAGTTTTGGGTGTTTTTTTTTGTTTTTAGTTTAGAGTAGGTTTGAATAATTTTGAGGAAAAGGGAAGCATCATAGAATCACCCCAAGACAGGTGTGCTGGACCAGGCTGGTCTCCAGCCTGCCTTGTTTGAGGTGGCCTGGGCTGGAGAGGGACAGAGAGAGGGAGGTTGTGGAGTTTCCCCTCCCCAGGGCAGGTTTTCCTGGCTTGCAGGACTTAAACCTACTCGGCTTAGTGAGCCGGAAATTCCCCGTCACTGCAAATCCAAGGAGAAGTGCCAAAGCAGAGGCTGAGCCTCTCCAGTCGACTGGGGGTGCTTGGCAAGAGCTCCAGAAAGCCCTAAAGAAAGTTAAAGGAGGAAATCCAGCCACTTAAACATTTTGTTCTTATGACTTCTGACAGATGATTTTTTTATTCCCTTTCTTAATAGCTTAGTCTCAGAGCCTGCTTCTCACCCCCTCTCATCCCTCTGTTCCTTGGGAGCTGCAGTGGTTTCACAGGTGATTAGAAAATGAACAGATCTGCCCTCTCCAGATTTACTGCTATTAATGTATGCTAGTTTCCCAGAGAGCAGCCTGAGAATACAACACAGGGTGTTTGCTCCTCTGAAGCACCAAAAATGTGAAGGAGAAACCTGGTGCTCTCCATGGCTGTGTACCCTGGCTGGGGGTCTGCTGCAGGTTTCTCCTGTGGGACTGACAGATTTTGGGACCATCCCAGGAATTACTGTTCTGTTTCCGAGTAGGGGGTGCCTGCAAAAATCCATTTTCTTTGGGGTTTTGGGAGAGGCAGGAGTGTCTGTGTGTGAGAGACCCAAGGGCTGGGGCTGGGCAGGGTGGTGGGGTTGGTGTGGGGCTCCCACCGTGTCCCCAGCAGTGCCTCCAGGACAGACCCAATGCAGGGACAGCAAGGCAGTGTCTGCAAGGCTGGAAGCAGGGAATCTCTGCTGATGCTGAGATTTCTGTGTAATTAAAAGGTTTTTAATGGCAGGGGAGCAGGGAATCCACGAGGTGAACAATCACTGGAAGTGCTGGTTGTGGCAGGTGCAGAGCTGGTTCTGCCACCCTCCTGTACCCAGAGTGCCAAGGCCTGGCAGCTGCAGGGAAAAGGTCTGTGATCCTTCCCCAGGGATTTCCTTCTGCTCATGGGTGAAAAATCCTAAAGGGTTTTCCCTGGGTGAAATCCTAAAGGGTTGCAGGGAGCTGGGGAAAGTGAGGGGGTCCAAAGTGCCCCAAGGAGCTGCAGTGAGGGGAGTGGTGGGCAGCCCTGGCTGCTGCTCACCCCTCTTAGGGTGGAGATTTTTTCCTAGAAGCAAAGAAGGGCCTTTTTGGGCATGGTGAGATCAAAAGGTGCCAGCAAGGAGGGTTCAGGGGTGCTGTGCATGCATGTTTGGAGTGCCTGGGCAGCACTGGGATTAGGCTGGGGTCTTCCAGCCTCAGAACCTCTTGCTTTTTGGGGTTTTCTCCTCAGCTGCAGCTTTTTGGGAAGGAATAAAGAGTGCACATGCTGGGAGGCAGGAAGGTGACTTTTGAGGCTTCTCTCCCAATGGTGTACATTGAATGCCCTCTGCTTGTGTGGCTCAGTGAAAGTCTTGGGACATTGTGGCCCCAAAACACTTCTCGAAACCTTGGGACTTGGCAAAAGGGAAACTGAGGCACGGGGCCGTTGTGTGTCCTGAGAGCTGCAAAGCCGCAGGTAGTGTCTGTGTCCCATGTCCTGGTCCTGCTGTCAGCCGCTCCCAGGAGCAGTGAGAGCTGGGGCTGTGTCCCCTCCTTGGTGCTGGTCCCCAACTGGGAGAAAGCTGAGCTGGGGGCTCTGCTCCAATCTGAGGAAGGGGATGTGTGATTTTTCCTTCCCCTCTGGGAGGGTGGTTCAGCATCTGGCAGCTCTGCTCAGGGCAAAGTCCATCCTTGGCTGGATGTGGGTCACCCAAGGAGTGTAGGATCATGGGGGAAATGGGGTATGGCCCTGGGGATACTGCAGTGAACGTGTGTGTGTGGAGAAAAATTGAGCACCAAAGCCTTTCCTGTGGTAACCTGGAAGCCCATCACCAAAAAGTGTGTTTTGCTTTTAGAATACCTCATTTTTTCCTCAAATATGTATATGAACACAAGAATGTGATCCCAGGCCCTCCAAAAAATGCTACTTCTTGATGGAAAATAATTTTTTTTCTCTGGTTTTTAGGCTACACTGAGCTGTGTACTGAGCCCTTTTCCTGCTATCAGTTGAGGCAGTGGGTGCTAAGCTCATACGTGGCTCCCAGGACACCTTGTCCTGCCAGGGCACTGTGGGACATCCCCTTCTCCCAGACAAATCCTGCAGTATCTGCCTTTTGGGTTGTTGCTGCCTGTATTTTAACTCTTATAGCACATAGTGTTGCCCCTGTACAGGTGCAAGAAGAGCTGTCCCTGTTGTCACTTTTGGAAGTGCTGCTCCTGTTGCCACTTTGCAGCTTTCTTCCCCTCTTTGTGAAACCCCCCCAGGACATCTGAGGACATCTGCAAGGATGTGGCCGCTTTGGGGACTGGACCTGAACCGGGTGCGCTGTGACCTGCTCTTCACAGAAGCCATCAACCAAAGGATGCAGGTTCCCAACAGGCTGAAGGTGGCAGAGAGCTGCAGCCCTGGGGACAGGAGGACAGGGACAGAGGATGTCCCTGCCTCCTTTCGGATGCACATCCCTGATAGGATTTCTCTGGCAGGTAGAGCCCTGGGTTGTCTTTTGGTGTGTGGCTGGGGGTTGGTGGGGCACTACAACATCCTAGCGAGTAGGACCCCTTTATAAACCTACCTTTCATTTGCTTTGCTGGAGGAGAGGATGGGGGCAGGTAATGCAGGCACTTTTCTTCAGGAATGTAGGGCAGGATGGTAGATGGCTCGGGAAGAGGTGGGCATAGGTCAGCAAAGAAGTCTGGGGGGGCTTAATTCCAACAGGTGAGGAGCAAAATGTGGAGCCATCTCCCTCCATGTCTCTTCCAGGTCCCTCTTGGCCTTTGGTAGGGTCCCTGCTTTGGGATGCAGGACATTTGGCCCTGTTTTACGAACAGCTCTGAAACCTGGTTGTCCTGAAGCAGTGGCTCTGCCTCTCTGGGCTGTCCAAAAATCCCAGGCATAGTGTTTGTTCATCTGGCACTAAACACAGGCTTGACTCTCCACATAGGGTGCATCTCTCTTCCCTCTCCTGAGGCCACTCAGGTTGGCTTAATTCTTCCCTCTCTCCTTTCTGTAGAGATATCAGACACCAGTTTGAGGCCAGTCGTGCTGACCCAGCCAAGGAAGGTCCCCTCTGTGGTGGTGCATGTGTCCCCAGACCCCTCTGGGGACGTCCCTTTGCTGCCCTCAGCCAGCAGAGCCAGCGCACAGCGACGCAAGCGATCGGTACTGTAGGGGCAGGGACGGGGGTGCCTGGGGTGGGGAATGGAAACCGTCCCAAATTTGGGGTTCCCCAGATGGCTGTTTATCGCTCCAAGCCAGGATTCATCTTCCAGGAGGCCCTAGGAGTGAGGGGATAGGGATGGAGGGATCTCTTTCTGACCCAGAACCAGTGCACACCTGTGTGCTGGGACCTGGATTCAGCCACAGCTCCTGCTGCATTTTGTGGGCAGGGGATCGGCTAAGGTAGGTGCAGTCCCACCACTGGCTGCTGCTGCTACTTTTGAAGTCCTTTTTCAACCTCTTTTTCTTCTTGATGAAGTATGAGGTAGAGTTGGTTCATCACAGCAGTGTAAAGGAATCTGGGGTCAGAGCCAAAAGCAGATTTTAACCCTTGTGTGAGACTCTGATTTCAAAGAGAGGTCCCAGGCATGGGCAGGCAAAGACTTGGTTTGGCTGCTGGAGCTGCTGTTCTGCCTCTTCAAGTGCTTAAACTCTCTGAAATTCGAGAGCTGATTCTGGATGGGTTAGGTTTAGGTTTTGATCTGGCTAGAGTTCAGATCAGCAGGCTTGTGCTGGGGACCCTCTGTCTGCTCTGAGCATTGTCCCCACCTGCACCAGCATCAGGTCACCAGCTTGGGGCTCCTGTAGTGCTCTCCCCACCACTGAGTGCTAGTGCACCCCTGGCCCCACAGCCCACACAGGGCACCAGGCTGGCCTCAGCTCTGTGCTAACGTGCTTGTGTTTGATTCCCACAGGGCCATCACAGCACCAGGTCACGGAGGGACAGGACCATGAGTGACTGTGCCCAGCTGGCCTTGCACAACCCAGGACAGCAGCACGAGGGGTGAGCATGGGTCCAGAGTCACCCAGGGCGGGTTGGGAGTAGCATCTCCTCTCACTGGGCTGTTGTGAATCTCTCTGATGTTGGTGTCCTGAGAGGGACATGGGGGATCCAAATCAGAGCAATGCAAGTCCTGCTCATCCATGAGAGGAACATGGCCTTTGGTGCCAGAGGTGTTTGTGCTGGGCAGCTTTGCAGGCAGCTGTGTTGCTCCCACTCTGGAGTCTCTGCAGTGGGGAAATTGTCTCTGAGCTAATCTTGGAGCAGGGACTACTGTCCCACTTAAGTCCAGAGCTGTTCTGGGTGGCAGGAGAGCAGCATGGCACACAGCCATGGTTGGCTTTGGAGGAATCTGGTGGCTGCCTCTGAGTCTGAGGGCTGCTGGAGAGGGTTCTCCCAGCTGATGCCATCGGGGTCTGGGTGCCAGGGGCATTGCCCAGAGTTGCCTGGAGTTGCTGAAGGGATGAGGGGCAGTGCCTAATGCCAGGCTGTACCCTGTTGTGTGAGACCAGGGGGTAACATGCGTGATTCTGTGTGCACCCAGGCCAGACTCGTGTCCCCTGCCTGCTCCCAGTGTCCCACTCCCCTTCCTCACAGAGGCAGGCAGGATCTACTCCATGCAGAACATCTTCCAGACCATGTACCTCCTGGGCCAGGTGCTCTTCCACCGTGTCCAGGACTCTCTGCGAGACCCAGCACAGTCCAGGTGACTTTGGCTTGTCCTGAGCCAGCTCTCTGTCACTCTGCCAGGCCTGGCCTGTGCCTTGCTGAGGCAGAAGCCAGGCAGGAGCTCTGTAAGCTGTGGGCCGCAGGGTGGTTCTGCATGGCTGCCTTGGACTTTCTTTCTCAGCTGTCCTGTGTGCCAGCTCTGGGTGCCAGGTCTTGGTGCACCTCACTAACCCAGCCAGGCTTGAGTCTGCTGCTCAGCTTAACACCAGTCCCCTGGGCAGGCCTGAGTGCTGCTGTGGCATTGCTGGGTCTTTGCTGCTAGGCAAGGACTGATTTTTCTGTATGCTTTCATAGCTTGTTGGAGAGGGATGTGTGAAGGGGATCAAAATCCAGAGCAGAAAGCCTGACCCAGGTGCTGTCCCTGACTCATCCTCTCCTGCAGGCTCCCATTACCTTTGGCTGTCTCTTGGTCACTCTTCATTAGCCTTTCCATGAGTTGGCTGCACTCTTGTGCCCCTGGCCGGGCTGTGGTGTCCCTTTGTGCTCCCTGGAGCAGGTGTGCAGTGGCCTCAATCCCTTCAGATGTGCTGGAGGAACCATCTCCACCACCCTTATCTATGCCACGTCGGTAAATTCTCTTCGTTCAAAGACATCCTTGCAGCCTTAAGGTGTCCCCACTGCTCTAAGGCTGCTGAGCACCTGGAGGAACATCTAAATACCTCTCATTCTCCTTGAGCAAAGCCTCCAGGCAGAAAGGGAGGAGAACCAGCATCCATCATCAGTGGCATGTCCTGCCTTCCCTCCCCAGCTGGCTGCTGCTTGCTGATGATCCAAAGTGATGTCTCTGCTCTTAAAGACTGTAGGCTGAGGCTGCCTTCAAACATCATTTTAATATCTTAATGACCAAGAGATTTGGTTAGTGGCTACAAAAGACCTTCTCCTTCCCCCCTTCAGCAGTGGAGGTCATTGAGGCCATGGTAGCCTGCAGAGCTGCTGTAATGCAGCAATGGGATGACTCTGGGGCTTCTCCCCAGGCCTTGATCTCCTTTTGAAACCAGCCACCCTCAAACACCTCTTCTTAGTAATTTATATCCCTTTAGATGCAGACATCCCTTCAATATGACAGCTTTGTACTCCTATGCAACAGTAAAATAAACAAAAAACCTGTGCTGACTTGTTTGTCCCGAAATTTTAGTCAAGTCTGGCCTCAGACAGACACTGGAATACCTGGCTGACAGTGACCTATTGAAGGGTATGAGCCACCAGAAGGCAATTTCTAGTCTCTGCTTTAAAGGGTGTTCACCTGTATCAACTGGGATTTTGACTCAAAAGCTGCAGGATGTGTCCTTTTTTCATGGTTATCTACTGGGGAAAATTGCATTTTCTTTCCGTTGTGACTGTCATTTTACACTGCAGCTACATTTTATGGAGGCATTATCTCACAAATGGAGTTTCAGAAAGGGATTCTGTGAATCTCCACATGCTCTTCTGGCTTGTCTTCAGCGAGATCAGCATCATGTTACAAACAGGGATAAATACCCTCTCCTCCCCAGGGTCTCCAAGGAGTGGGGTTAGGTGCTTGTTAAGCCCTATGGGATCAGTGAGTGCCTGTGTGAGTTATTGGTGTGCACAGGGGAGGTTTGGTTATATAATAGCTGATTTTGGGCTAGCCTGTGATGACAGGAATTGATATTTTTCTCACTGTGGATCTACTTTATTTTGTGACTCAGTGGTGTGGACCCTGCAGTGAGGCTGTGCCTCCAGGGACTGCTCTGGGGATCAGTGGCTGTGCTGCCTCTGTCATGCACCAGCTCATTCCAGTGGGGAGCCCTGTGTTTCCAGGGAGAGAAGAAAGTGATGAACATTGGGGTTGCTAGTTTATCTTTCAAATTGCAGGTAAAATTTGCTACGAGAGCAAATAGGGATAGTTCCTTCCAGCTGATGGCAGCTGATGGCAGCTTCCTCACCTGCTGATGTAAATGTGATCACCCCTCCATTTCAGCATTGGTCCTGTGATGCCTGTTTACCTGACTGGCTCTAAAGATGTTTTATCCAGCCCTCAGTGATTTCCTGGGACTACAGAGAATGGGTGCTTAGTGGATATGTTTTCTCTCTGCTGCACCTCTAAAGAAATACAAGCATATGTTTGCACCTGTCTTGGCATGTGCTGTCTGTTTGTCCTGGCCACTTTGGGTGCATGCTGGAGGGGCAGCAATGTGCATGATGGGGGTTAGGAAGAGATGAGTGGATGCTGTGCAGGTGCTGTTTGCTCTCTCCTGGTGCAGCACAGCCTGGGACACACTCCCTGCATGGCTCAGCTCCCCGTGGCAGCGCTGCATTTGTGGGGGGTCAGCTGCATCCCACGAGCAGTGCTTACCCACCTGCATCTCTGCTTTCCTTTCCCAGCGCCCAGGAGCCCATCCCAGCTGCAGAGAGCGCCTTGGAGGAGGCTGGGGTGACAGAGGTGGCAGTGATGAGAAGGCAGGTGAGATGAGGGTGAAGGCTGAAAATGTTTTCTGGGGAAGCCACGGGGTGGGTGAGGAGGCTCCAGGGGGCAGGTGCTCAGTCCTGGTGGGCTGGTGCTGTCAAACTGGTCCTACCTTACAGGAGAGGACTTTCATGTGTGTTGATCCATCGAGCTCCTGCCCCAAGGGGCTAGGAGGACACAGCCAGGCCCCTCTGGAGGCAGTGAGAGGGGCTCAGATGCTCTCTGATGGGAAGAATCTTTTCCTGAAGCATCTGCTGCAGACCTGAGGTGCTGCTGCCACTCCTCCCACACGAAGGTAGCTGCTGCTTTAGAAAAGGAGGACCTGAAGGAGGCAGCAGCTCCCATCTTTCCATCCCATGCTGTCCCACGCTTCTGGGGTGCTGCCATGTAACAGTGGTGGTGTTTGCACCACGTAATTAATGGTTTGTCTGGAGTCTGTTCTGTCTTCACTCAGAACCAGGATTTAAAAAACACACGAAGGAAACAGATTTTCTCATGTTCGGGCTTGGTTGTTTATTAAATCTTATCTAAAGTACAGAAAGTTCAGCAACACTTCTAGCCACCAGCTAGCAGTGAGCAAAATGGAGAGAGATTCAGCTCCTACAAGGTCTCTTAAAGCTGAACATCCAATAGAGAAATAATACCTATATTATTTATACTTTTAACCCAATAACCAAATTCCAGTGACTCTCAGTGCAGCACTAACTGTCCAACCAGAAACTACTGCCTGAAACCATGAAGAAGAAGGCAGATGAGCATTGAAAGAGACACCACCCCAAATTCTCCATCTTGTCCCATACCTATTACTATATTACAAAAACCTCAAATTTAAAACCCTTCACCATGTGAAAGCACACACTTCTATTTAACTACACACCCATGATTTTAACTCCATCACTCAAATTTGGAAGCCTTCTGCAAGGCCTCAGGTCAAAAGCAGTGTTCTCCAGGGGGCAGAGCCAGAAAGCACAGAAAGCTCAAACTTCCCAGGTTTGTGGGATCCAACAGTGACAGTGCCCCCCTTCTTCCCTTGCAGCTGGTGAGGATCTCGGGGAGGCTGCGTGTGCTGGAGGAGCAGTGCCATGCCTGGAGGCAGAAGGAGGCCCTGCTGTACTCTCTGATGATCTCTGCTTGCCTCTTCAACACGTGGCTCTGGCTTAGAAGATGACAGCCCCTGGCCAATCCCCCCTGCTCACCCTGGCAGAGTGGGTGAGGGCAGGCAGAGGAGCATTTCTCATGTATTTGCCAGCAGTGAAACTCTTTTTTTCTTGACTAGGACTGCTTTTCACACTGTGGGCCCTCAGGAATCTGTTCCCTTCACACCTTGATGACAGTGAAGGTGTGAGAAGCTGCTGCCAAGACCTGAGGTCTCCCAATAACTTGGTGGCTGACACAGGAGGTGTCTGTTCTGTGCAGTTGCTCCCAGGCTGCCAGAGGAGATGCAAACCCGAGGTGTTGGGTGTTTGTGGACCTGGGATCCTGGGATCCTGTCATAGCCTGTGGTGGGCCCGGTCCCCTGGCCACATCCCACCTTGGAGGTCTCAACTCTGACCCCATAAAAGTTCTCAGCCGATTGCTGTGGTCAATTCCTCATCTTCTGTAGCGTGGCTGAGTGTTTCTAAACTTCTGCTGGGTTTTCTTTCCTTGTGCAGCAGCTCTTTGGTGGAGGTGGTACTGCCAGGTCTCCTGTGCCACAGCCCCTCCTGCAGGAATAGAGCTGGAGGGGCCAGGAGCTCCCATCCCTGCAGCCACAGCAGATTTGCAGATGTTCAGGTCCAAAGTGACTGTAAGAGCCTTGCTGACATCTGGGCTTATCCAGTGGCAGAGGGGGGAGTGGGGGAGTGTCTCTCCCAGGTCTTGCTGCCAAGCTGCAACTTCAGTAATGGTGCAAGAACATGGGTGAGGGAAATTCCTGACCCAGATGCTCTTTAGCCATAAACAAGCTCAGTTCAACAGCTTTTCTCCTTTTTTCCTTCTCTAGAGTTTAGTAACACTTGATTCTGAGGTGACTTTGAGATGTTTTTGGTGGCTCATCCAGCACATCTGCTGGAGTTGTGCATGCAGGCCCTGGGGGCAGGTTTTGGCAAGGCTTAACAGGACCTCTCTGTGTCACCTGTACCTAATTATAGCTGGATCTACATGTCATCCAGATGTCCCAACAGCTTATTTACAGACATCAGTGCTCGAGTGTTTTCTGTTTGACACCGCATCAAGCATCCGTGACTGTAAATCTGGCAGCTGGACAGTGACTAATAAATAACTGTCCCAAAGTAATTGCAGGTCTGAACCTGTGGCTGATTGCTGAGCTGAGCAGAGCACTGGGATTTATTGCAGATGAGAGCCAGGCTGGTGTGGTGGGCTCGATGTGCTGTGCTGTGGCAGGGGTGTTGTGCAGGGTGGGTGACTCCTGGGGCTTGTGGCCCAGGGATGGGGTCGGGGTCACCAGAGGACCTTACACAACTGTTACGTATGAGAGGGTGTGAGTGGTGCCGGGAAATGATGTAAATTGTCTGGTTTCTCTCCTTTGAGAGGTGGTAATGTGTTTTGGAGGAAGCTTGTGTTTGGGGTTTATTTTAAGCTGTATTTAGGGTGAGAAGGGATGACTTTGGGAGGGGACACATTCAAAGTGTGGCTTGAGGGTGTTTGGAGGAGAGGTGGTCAAACTGGATGATTCTCATGGGCTAGTTACTGGCAGCTTGTAGAAGATATGACTTCTATGTAAGGCATAAATTCTGGTGTAAATCTGGAAACACTGATCACAAAATGCATATTTTAATAAACTCTGTGTGTTCTGGACATGTTTTTTTTTTTTTTCTGTGGAGTCTGATCCTGATGTCCCAGCAAGTGGGAACAGGTAAGGTTTATTCCCTTGGCAGCAGGACTGTGACCTGCTCATGGGTGTCTCAGCCCCAGCTGCCCTGGCTGAGGGGGAATCTTGAGGAGAAGAGCTTCTGGTTAATGCTGTCCTTGTTGGAGTCTGATGCTTTTATTTCCTTTTTTCTCTTCCTTATCTCCTCCTCCTCACTGCTTTGTCCCAAGGCAGCACACGTGGCAGGGCTGAGTGTCCCCAAGGGCCACTGCCACAACGACTTGCACAGCAAATAAAGTGTTTTGTGCACGATGGTGCTCAAGGGAGCAGCTCCTGGAGTTCCCATGTTCCTTTTGGAACAGCTGCAGCTGCAGGCAGGGAGCAAAAAGAGAGTTGGAAGGGGGACACGTTGCTGCCAGATTGTTGCTGACAGGTGAGCTGTCACCTGGAGTCTGTGATGTGGGGACAAGAGCAGGGTGACATCCTGTGCTGCTGGGTGCTCACCCAGGAACCACAGCCCCTGCCAAATGAGAAATTCTGTTTCTTCCTTTGGACTCTCCCTGCTGCCTGGGTGCTCAGTGAGATCAGAAAAAGTGAAATTTAGGGCTTTGAAGGGGAAAGTAAAAGGTAAACCTTTGATAGCAAAGATGAAAGAGACTCCTGGTGCTGGTGCTTTCAGATCAGCCCTGCACAAGGTGCAGGACTCCATGTGCCCGTCAGGAATGGATCCAGCCTCAGCCACTGCAAATGGTTACACCCTGGAGGGAGAGGATAAAAACTGACCTCTTCCTTATTGCCTTGGGCATGCAGATTTTTTGGTAACTGGGCATTAGAATGACTTTCTGAGCAAAATAGGAGGGCAGAAATTGGTGAAAGGTGCATTCCATGATCACCTTCAAACTCTGCAGCTCTCTCTGATGGGACTCCAGAGCAGCACTTCTGGTCCCCTGCTCTGCCAGCAGGAGAAGAGGTAAGTGGATGTGAGGGTGTTAAAATGTCTCTACTTTTTCCAGTTTTCCATCCTACAGTAGCTGTGGCACAGCCTCTGAAGTAGGGAAATAATCACCATCTTTGCTTTTCCCTAGGGCAGGAGGCTGGGAGAGGAGTGGGAGCAGACCTTTGGTGCAATCCAGGTGCATCTCCTGGTGTGGCAGGACCTGAGCCCACCTGGGGGTGCTGGCTGTGCCTGTCCCTGGGTGCACAATGAGGACTCAGGGGTTACTGGGCACAGAGCTGCTCAGGATGGCTGTGATCTCCAGCTGGGCACTGTCCTGCAGTTCCTGGGGTCCCTCCAGCCCAGAGGAGGTGACGGGTGGGGGGAGAAGGGAACACGTGCGTAGGGAAATGGAGCATCCCCGAGCAACACATTTCCCTCCTCCCCTTTCATCCCCAGACACAAGGCTGGCTGCTGCCAGTGTCAGCTCCCCTGGAGAAGCTGCTCAGGGCATGGAGGGTGCTCAGGGGACGAGCAGGGCGGTGACAGACACAGGGCTGTGTGCACTGTCCCCGCTGCCACCGAGGGGCACCTCCACTTGTTCTGCCCTGGCTTGGTGTTCGAAAAGCTCCGGAGGAAGCCCGAGAAGCTCCCGGAGCAGGGATGCTCCCCAGCCAGCCCTGCCAGCCCGCCTGAGGCAGCAGCACAGCGCTCAAGGCTGCGGGGGACGCCGGGCTCGTAAGTGGACGCTGGTGGCTTCTCGGTGGTGGCAGCGGTGGCCCAGGGAGGTGTGGAAAGGAGGGACAGGCAGGGCAAGGCAGGAGTGGGGGAAATAAGGGAAGAAGGGGGGACGTAGGAAAGGGAGGAGTAGGCAAGGAAAGGAAAGGCAAGGGAGGGGTGGGGAGGCAAGGCAGGGGTAGAAAAGAAAAGGGAGGGTGGAAAAGGCAAGGCAAGGGAGGGTAAAAAAGACAAGGCAAGGCACAGGAAGGCCGGGCAAGGCAACCCAGGGCAAGGGAGGGTTAGTAAGGACAAGGCAAGTCAAGGCAAGGCAAGAGAGGGGAAAGCAAGCATGGTAAAGGAGGAGTTGGACAGGGAAAGGCAAGGCAAGGGAGGGTAGAAAAGACAAGGCAGGGCATAGAAAGGCTAGGCAAGGCAACACGGAGCAAAGGAGGAGGAGGAGGCAAGGAAGGCAAGGGAGGGGAGGGGTAGGAAGGACAAGGCAAGAAAAGGCAAGGCAAGGAGGGGGAAAGCAAGCAAGGTAAAGGAGAGGTTGGACTGGGAAAGGCAAGGGAGGGCAGGGAAAAGGAGGAGTACACAATGGGAAGGGGAAGGGCAAGCAAGGCCAGGAACAGAAGGCAAGGAGAGTAGGAAAGGCAAAGGAGAGGTAGGCAAAACCAGGGAAGAGAAGGAAAATGAGGTGTTACTCTGGCAATGGATGAGGAGTCTGAACGATGAGGAGAGCATCTTTTATGGACCCAGGCAGTTGTGAGATCTCTGGGAGAGAACAAAGCACCCTTCAGGACTCCTCGTGGAGTCATGGGAATCATGGTGTAGCCCATGCCGTGGTATTTGACCCTCTCTTCCCATGCTGTGCTGGATTTCTGTGTTCAAACCACGTGATGTGTCCTGCACGTGTTTTCTTGTGGCTGTTTTGTGCTTTTTTGCAGGTCCCTGGGTGTGTGCCCGTGGTCTCCTCACACTGAAGATGCCAGTGGAGAGCAATGGTCTGCACAGTTCCCCAGCCAACCACCAGCCCTGCCCACCCCAGCCCCGGGGGGACACGGAGGGGACAGGGCTCAGCACCATCAGGTCAGGCTGGTCCTGCTTTGGTTCAGGGGGCTGTGGCATGGGCAGGGCTGTGATGCCCAATCTCTGCTGCCAGCTTGCTGCAGTGTGCCTGGCTGTGGCAGTGCCATGGTGGCACAGTGTGGATGTGATCCCCCGTTTTCCCCACTGCAGGACCCGTTCAGCCCAGGATGACACCACCTCAGAGCTGCAGAGAGGAGCCAGCCTGGATGGGGAGCAGGGGGCTGACCACGCTTTCCGAGGCCAGGGAGCCTTGGCCAGGTACCTGTGTGTGCCACTGGCATGGGGTGAGCCTTCTGTGCCTGGCCTTGACACTGGGGCCTTCTGTGGGGCCAGGATCCCCTTCTGCTGTATGGAATTAATGGGATGCAGGGATGAGTGTTGGTGAATGCTGCTCTTTGTGCCTCAGTGTCCATGGAGAGGGTTTTGGTAGGGGATGGCTTCACCCACACTGGGCTCAGAGGCTCCTTTCCCTGCAGGCAGCCTCCCTCTGCCTCAGTCACTTACAGATTCCTCATACTCCTGTGGGAATGACAGCAGGACTGGGGTAGAATTGTGGAACTCTATCAGGGTGGTCTCTATTACTTGTATAATTTTGGTCCCACATCATCACTAAATGGGGTCAAAAAGAAATTGTAGTGCTTGAGAGGGAACTGCAAGAGTTTTCTTCTCAGTTGTAGCTCCCCTGATGGCTCTGAAGCTTTTGCTTTGTCCTTGCTCTGTTTCCAACTCCTGGCTCTGCCTCTCTCCCCTGTCCAGGATAGTCCGGCTGGTGCTGGTGCTCAGGGACTGGGCCAACAAGAGCCTGCACGAGGAGCAGCAGAGGCCAGACCCCTTCCTGGAGCGTTTTCAGGGCCCTGAGCTCCTGACAGTGCCTGCAGGTGCTGGTGATGAACTTGAGGATGAGGAGACTGAGAAGTTAAACAAAAAGTAGGGTCCTTTTCCTTGGCTGGGGTTCAGCTGTGCGTGGAGCTCAGGGGCTCCCCATGGGGATGGTGATGGGGATGGGAAGGAAAGAAGTGGGATGGAGTGGTGGGAAGGGTCCCTCCTGCCTTCTCCAGCCCCTGTTGTGGCAGCCAGCCTGGCAGGGCTGTTTTGCTGACACACGGGACCTGGTGGTCTGTCCCTATGGAAAAGACTTGGCCTGTCCCTCAGCAATGGGGTCTTCTCCCTCCTGGTCCATGCCCTGGTGGGAAACACATCAGACCTCCTCAATTTCATACCAGTCCCACACTAGGGTTGTTTTTGGAGCCAGCCCTGGGTCTGTAATAAGATGCACCTGCAGCTTGTGCATAGGAGGGGCTGGACACAACCAAGGGATGCAGGACTCCACCCAGCAACCACTACATCCCACCCAGGAGCCACAAACCTGTGGGATTTGCCAGTCTCATTCATCATCTGCAGGATGAAGGGAGTGTTTGCTGTCTGTGCCCCTACAAAGAGCAGCTTTCTGAAAAGGCTCTTTCAAATCCAGCCCTTTCATCTCCTCAGCTCACACTCCTGGTGAGAAGCAATAACCTGGCTTTTCTTCTGCTGGCTAATTAGAGGGCAAAGCTCACAGACTACTCTGGACCCTACCATTATACATGGTAATTAAAACACCAAGAAATAATTGTTTTCTGTAGGAGAAAAATAATCTAAGCCTTGTATCTGGCACTTTACTAGTAATGGAAGAAAATCCTGTTCTGCCCTATGGGGTTAAGGAGAGCTTGTTCATGACTAGAAGGAGCTGAAGTGTTCTGTGGAAGGGCTGCCCAGTGCCAGTGGGTTCTGGGGATGCAGTGGGAACTTCTGGGGTTTTCCAGGTCCTCAGCTGCACAGGTATGAAGAGCCCCAAGTCTGGTAATCCCACATGTGAGCTGCTACTCATGGCTGTGACAGGCTCCACAGCTCCAAACCTGAGTGCAAAGCCTTTGGGAAGAGGCAGATGATTATTCCTTCTTCCTGGGTTAACTCAGAGCCCTGTTTTTCCCACCCTGATTCTGCTGTCATTGTAGTATCAGTGATTCTGGCCACCTGTCATGGCAGCACTGGTGATTTAAAGCTGAAATTACCAACATCATTAACAGCATTATTGATGTTATTAGTGGTTGTGGATGCTACAACTCTCTGGGCTGACTGCAGGTGAGTCAGAGCTTCCCCTGTGGCAGTGCTGGATGTCCTAGGGAGCAGAGTCCCTTTCTCAAAAAAAAAAAAAAAGTTCAAGTCACACTTTCTGGTTAAAGAATAAACCCTTTTAATGGGGAGGCTGGACCATTACTTGTCTGTGGGTGCACAGAGAGTGAACATGAGGGACTGGGGCTGGCTTTGTGCCAAGTGCCAGTCCCCACACTCCAGGCACTGCCTGCTCCAGGGAAAGGAGACATCCAGGCAGAGGTTCTGCCTTTGAAGCTGCCGGAAATGATGGGGCGGGCATGGGGAATCTGTTGGCAAGTGGGTTGTTTATTTTCCTATCACTGAGGGAGTTTTGCTTGTTCAAAAGCTGGGAGGGAAGGAAGGAAGGAAGGAGGGAGAGGGTGTTTTGCCCCACCAGGCTGCAGAAGCTGTAAACCTATCAGTCCAGCCACAGAGTTTCTCTTCCCCTGCTTCTCCAGTGAATCTGGCAACTGGAGCACACACTTCTTATCTCAAAGTCCCAGGACGAGCAGGATCAAACACTTGGGAGCAGTTCAAAGGCTGGAGGCCGGGCTGTGCAGACTGCAGGAGACACAGGAGGCAGCCCTGCCATGCCAGCTGCCCCCGGGGCCACTGCTCTGGGGCTTGGGTAGCCCCTCCTGGTGCTGCCACTCATCTGCAGCACACTTTCCTTCCTGCTCCAGTTAACCTTCAGATCTGCCTAGCACTGGTCCCTACCTCACCTGGGAGAGGCAATGTCATGTCACGTCACGAGAACTTTTCTGATCACGCTCTTCCATACATCTGTTCCTGGCTGTGCCACTGGGGTGCTGTGTCATGTGGGCCACCTGCTTTGCCTTACCATCCCACAGTTTCTTCTTCTGCTGCATTCTCAGCTCAGTTTTAGGGATAAAGGAACTCAAATAGTGCTGGGATTCATTTTGATGTCAGACAGGCACACAAGCTGCAGCTCTGGTTGAGGCAGTGTGGTGTAAGGCATGGAGGATGTGATTCAGATTGTTCATTCCAATCCTGTTGCCCACATACACTGCCAGCTCTGACTTTTCTCTCTGCTTCCAGGAGGAAATGGCAGTTCTTCGTGGTAGACCCTGCAGGGGACTGGTATTACCACTGGCTGGCTGTGATTGCAGCTCCTGTCCTCTACAACTGGTGCTTGCTCATAGCCAGGTGAGCTGGGAGCTTGTGGGGTTCCTGCCTGCTCTGACCCTCCTGATCACCTGTTTGTTGTGGCTCAGCCAGGATCAGACTGATGCTGGTGGTGCTGGGGCTGGTGGGCACTGGAAGGAAAGAGACTCTCCATTATCACTGTGAATTCACAGTGGTGAATTGCAGCTGTCAGCTAGAAAGGGCCATGGTTTCAGGGTCATTTTGGAGGTGGTTTCAAGATGTTACTTACCTACATCAAGGGAGGGCAGATTTTTCAGAGCAGGGAGTTTTAATTCCTAGAAGAGGATTGCCCAGTGGCCAAACTCTGTTGCAGAGTTGGGTGCTTCAGGATCAGCTGTAATAATTAGAGAAGTTGTGGGGATTTGTGGTCTCACAGCCTGTTTGATGACCTTCCTCCAGGGCTTGCTTCACTGACCTGCAAAAGACCTATTTTGTGCTGTGGCTGGTGTTAGATTACATCTCAGATGCTCTGTATCTCGGGGACACAGTGATCCGCCTGCACACAGGTGAGCAGGAGCAGCATCCTGGCTTTCCTTTAATCCCTTAAAAGTGGAGATGAGCTGCAAGGGACAGGCCTAATCCACAGTTCCATTAGAAGGAGAGTTTTGCCTACCTTGGCGTTCACTAGTGCGAAGCAGTCTCCAGAGAAAGAATCTAATTAGAAGATCTGAGAAATAGAGCAAGTTTCAATATGAAAGATTAATCATCCCAGCTTTCAACTTCACCTTTGAATAATTGTACAAAATTACCTGCATTACTATTAGTATTCGGGCATAGTTGAAGGTCTGTATCTCTGATTTTGCATCAGTTCAGCTAATGAATTATCTGCATGGAAAAATGGTAGAATTTAATGTTCTCGGAAGGCAGCACTTGGCTGTACGTTTGCTGACAGAACTGCAATAATTCATGATCTGGAGGATGGAAACCTTTGTGCTCCTTTTTCTTCATGGCTAAAGACTAAATCCCTGAGTTATATCTTAGGGTGGCTTTTGCCAGATGAAGGCCTTGAGTGATAGCAAACTGAGCAGAGCAGGAACTGGTAATATTTGGGTGACCCTGTGTATTTATGCACACAAATCTATGGCATACCATAGATTATTGCTCAGGTGCTCACAACACCCTCAGAAAAGTCAAACCAAGATAATCCTGTAATTTGCTCCTCTTTAGGATTCTTGGAACAGGGCCTCCTGGTTAAGGACCCAAAGAAATTACGGGATAACTACATCCACATGCTCCAGTTCAAGCTGGATGTTCTCTCCACCCTGCCCACAGACCTGGCCTATTTTTTGGTGGGATTGCACTGCCCTGAGCTGCGTTTCAACAGGCTGCTGCGCTTCTCCCGCATGTTTGAGTTCTTCGACAGGACCGAGACCAGAACCAGCCACCCCAACATCTTCCGCATCTGCAACTTGGTTCTTTACATCCTGGTCATCATCCACTGGAATGCCTGCATTTACTATGCCATCTCCAAGGCCATAGGCTTCGGAGAGGACAGCTGGGTCTATCCCAATGTCACAGACCCTGAGTACGGGTATCTGACCCGGGAGTACGTCTACTGTCTTTACTGGTCCACGCTGACCCTGACCACCATCGGGGAGACCCCTCCCCCTGTGCGGGATGAAGAGTATCTCTTTGTGATCTTCGATTTCCTCATCGGCGTCCTCATCTTTGCCACCATCGTGGGCAACGTGGGGTCCATGATATCCAACATGAACGCCACCAGGGCGGAGTTCCAGGCCAAAATCGACGCCGTCAAACACTACATGCAGTTCCGCAAGGTGAGCAAGGACTTGGAAACCAAAGTCATCAAGTGGTTCGATTACCTGTGGACCAACAAGAAGGCAGTAGATGAACGGGAGGTCCTCAAGAACCTCCCTGATAAGTTAAGGGCAGAGATTGCCATCAACGTTCACCTGGAGACACTGAAGAAGGTGAGGATTTTCCAGAACTGCGAGGCAGGGCTGCTGGTGGAGCTGGTGCTGAAGCTTCGCCCCCAGGTGTTCAGCCCGGGGGATTACGTGTGCCGGAAAGGGGACATCGGGAAGGAGATGTACATCATCAAGGAGGGCAAGCTGGCCGTGGTGGCGGATGATGGGATGACACAGTATGCTTTGCTCACTGCAGGGGGCTGCTTTGGTGAGATCAGCATCCTCAACATCAAAGGGAGCAAAATGGGCAACAGGCGCACAGCCAACATCCTCAGCTTGGGCTACTCTGATCTCTTCTGCCTGTCAAAGGAAGATCTCATGGAAGCAGTCACAGAGTACCCTGATGCCAAAAGGATCTTGGAGGAGCGTGGCAGGGAGATCCTAATCAAGGAAGGGCTGCTGGATGAGTCAGCTGAAGAGGAAAGCACAGAAGGGAAGAGCATGGAGGAGAGGCTGGACAGGGTGTCCTTGAACCTGGACACACTGCACACCCGCTTTGGCCGGCTCCTGGCTGAGTACAATGATGCCCAGATGAAGCTCAAGCAGCGCATCAGTGCTCTGGAGTCCAAGATGAGGCAGGAGGAACTGGAGGATTTCTTCTCTGATAGCTCAGACAGTCTGTTTGAGGATGAGGAGAAAGCTTTACCTGGTGGGATGCAGTGAGAGGGAATAGAGTCAGCTGGATGATGTCTGACCTTGTGTTGAGGCAGTGTTTGCTGCTTCACAAGGCAGACCCTGTGGCTGCCTTGCCAGGGCCTTTTCTCAGGTCCTGCTGCTGGCACTGCCTGGATGGCAGCCCCTGAGGTGGCTCCAAATCAGGGGATTGTCCCAGCTCCTCCTCTGACCTGTGACTTTTTCATTGCCTTTTGGGTTCAGCCTTTATAACTCACTTCAGGTAATCAGTCCTCAGTGAGTGTCTGCAAGCACTGCCCAGTCTGCACCCAGAAACTCTTCACCCACAAGATCCCCAAACTCAGCCAAGACAGGGCAAACTGCGCCTCTGGCATCTGCAAACGGAGAGGCTTGTCTGGGTCACTGTCACTGTCCTGGTCACCACGCTGGCTGAGGCTGGGCACTGAGCTGGCAGGACCTGCAGCTGCTGCCTCCTGCCTGCCTCTCTCTGCAGTTGTTTGGTGCTGTCAGGGGGCACCTGGTGCAGGTAGTTTGGTGCCCTGAGCACTGCACCTTCCTGGGGACAGCGTTTCCAAGCTCTCCTACTGTGGAAGCAGCGTGATTCCTGTGCAATGCAGAGTGTAGTGCTGGCAGTGCTACGAGCAGGAGTCAGACAGAGAGTGTCTCTCCCCTCTATCTAATGACAGCCACATGTGCCAGGAGAGGTTTGACTGAAATGACATGTTTTTAAGGAACAAAGCCATGGTGGCAGCCAACTGTGCCCATATTTGCTTTGCTGTGGGTAGCTCAGAGAGAGCACAGAACACATTTATTTTCTTAGGCAGGGGGTTTTCTTGTACTCAGTGGGAGTTTTGGGGCTTTGCAGGCTGCAAAGGCCCCTGCCTTCTGGAGGAGAGATGAGTGGCAGAGCCACAGGGACACGTGTGAGAGTGGAAACGTGGCTCCACTGCGAGTGCCAGCAAAGCTCTGCTGGGCTGGGCTGCAGCCCTGGGGGCTCCATGGTGTGAGCAGCTTGATTGGGAGGGGGACAGTGCAGGAACAGCCCCCAAAACCCTGCAAGCAGCAGCAGCACCAGTGCAGCAGCAGTGCTGCCTCAGAGTGCAGGACAGGTGCTGGGACTGGAGGATGACACCTCATTTTTGGTTCTGGGCCTATGAGTCCACTGCACATGTGGGGTGCGCTTAGGGAATATTTTGGTGGAGAAGGGAATTCATGTTCTGGTTCAAACTGAGCCGAGAGTTTGGCTAAAATGATGGGAGGACACATGGGGAAATACCAACCCAGAAGGGTTCATAGTGGAAAACTGAGGGTATTTGTTCTTTCCTTCCCTCCAATCTAAAACTGCCTCTCTGCATTTCATATGAACATTTTCCATTTAAAAATAAGGGCCTTGCTTTTTGGGATTTTGGGGGTAGGAATGTTTACATTACCAAAATTAGAAGTTGGGGTAAGAATAAAAGTTTTTTTGTCATCTCTGAATTAAACTGTTGCTCTTGTAGGTTTGATGTTTTTTCCTTTTATTATCAAGATGCTCTTGGCTGAAGTCGATGTAATTGCAGGTCTGCTACTCCTTATAATGCCACGAGTTGCATCCCCCAGATTCCCCATTTTCTAGGAGTATCCATCATGGATTTGCAGCCAGCTTTTGCATCGCCCGTTCCCTCCCGCACCGCCCGTTCCCTCCCGCACCGCCCGTTCCCTCCCGCACCGCCCGTTCCCTCCCGCACCGCCCGTTCCCTCCCGCACCGCCCGTTCCCCGCTCCCCATCCCGGCGCTGCGGGGCGGCTGCGGATGCGACGGGCGGGCGGCAGAGGGCGCTGTGGCCCGCGGAACCGCAGCGCCCGTACAGCGCCCCCCGGGCTGGAGCGTCCGTGTGGGAAGGGAGGAGGGACACTCAGTGTGACATCCCTGTGATGGAGGGGGGACCCTCAGTGTGACATCCCCGTGATGGAGGGGGGACATTCAGTGTGACATCCCCGCGAAAGAGGGGTGACACTCAGTGTGACATTCCTGTGATGGAGGGGGGACCCTCAGTGTGATATCCCCGTGAGGGAGGAGTGACACTCAGTGTGACATCCCCATGAGAGAGAGGGGGACCCTCAGTGTGACATCCCCGTGAAAGAGGGGGGACACTCAGTGTGCCATCCCCATGAGAGAGAGGGGGACCCTCAGTGCGACATCCTCCGGACTCCGTGCGGAACACTCTGCGTGACTCTCCTTGCGGGACCGCCTTTGCGGCCGGGACGCTCCATGCGGACGGGGGGACCGTCTATGCGGGTCCCTCCTTGCGAGCGGGTGGGACCCTGCATGCAGGACCCTCTGTGCGGGCTCGCAGCCCGTCGGGACGGAGAGCCAAGCCTTTGGCAACGCCACCACGAGTGTTTCCCGATGTCCCTTCCACCCCTCTCCGCTCCGCAGCTGCGCCCCGACCCGCGCTCAGCGCCGGGGGCTCTGCCTCATCCGTGCCCCTGCCCGGCAGCGCCTGCCCGGCTCGGGAGCTGCTGGAAGCTCAGGGAGGTCTGCCTTGCTCCCGGGGATGGGGAGAAAAACCAATCAAGCCCCCTCCTTCCCCCAGTTTTAATCCCAGATAATAATGCACTCGGGAAATTTTAAGCCTTCAGACAAATGACCCCAGGGGATGGCTTTGTGAATTCAGAGCAGATCCCGCTTGTTTCCTCAAGGCGGCAAGCCAGGAAATCATGGATTGATGAACCGCTTGACGGGCCTGCTAATGAAATTAGCAGCAGCTCCATGAATTTTTTCAGTGAGCAGGACAGGCAGATGTTGGCAGGAAGCACACACAATGGCACAGCTGCACTTGCGGGCTGCCTGAATTCCCGGCAGAGCGGACATGGGGCTCAGCAGATCCAGCCCTGGCTGCTGCCCATTTTACAGGTGGTTTCCCTAAGGCTCTCCTGGAGATGGGGAGCAGAGAGCTGCCAAAGACATCCAGGAGAAAAATCCTGCTGTAAGAGTCTGCTCAGCACCCTGCAGAGACGTGCCCATGTGTTACAATGCAATGAGCTGCCTTGTCCATGTCTTATTAATAATTTCCTTCTTTTAGGTTTCTCCAAAGACAGCTTCAGTTGTACAGGGGATCTTCTCAGCTGTGTGTTGTGGATGGGAAACGTCAAATATGGAGCAAATATATTGACTTTGGGAGAGGTCATGCCAGGGGATCATCACCAGGCAGTCACCCTCAGACCAGGGAAGCCCCCTGACAGCTGAAGCAGATGTTTTCTTCTATCAAAGGATGCATCTTCAGACCTGGCCTGCCTGTACCAGAGCCGGAAAAGGCCTGGGATGCTCAGGTGAATGGTACATGACTGTGCCATACTGGGTTTCCCTCCCCTGTGAGCATCGCTTCCAGGAACGAAATTATTGTCTCTGGCTGATACTCAGAAAAAGCTCTCATCGACCTCTGGGAAGTGCAAGTATCCATTTCACAGCTGGGGAAAATGGAGAGAGCCTGCCAGGACACAATGGTGATAACTGCTGCCTCCCAGCTGCCTGCTTCTTGTTTTTCTCTAGGTATTCACGAAGAGGCCATCGTGGTGGCAGAGAGTAAGCCCCAAAATAACCTCTGCTTATGCTGTGGGCAGCAGGGCTGCAGCACAGGAAACCATCTGGCTTTGCCCATTCTCCAGAGCTAAGTTAGGTCAGCAAGCTGCAAACAAGGTTGGTGTGAGTTTGGACCAGTGGATTTAGGGATTGCAGAGAGGGTCTGGCTCTGAGCCTGGGGTCTGGCATGAAGCCTGAAGCACAGCAGGCTCAACCTGGTGAGAAGATCTGTGTGCCAGGGGAATGGTGTGAAGTGCAGGGGCAAGCTCCAATCTTGCTCTGTTGTCCTGACCACTCTGTGTCTCTCCTCTGGGCTGGTTGGACCCAAATCTCTTGGAAATCAGGAGAGTTTGGAGGCAACTCCAAACCCTCCAGCATGGGCCCCTTTCAGAGCTCCTAGACAGCTTTTCTTACCCCAGCTCCTGCCTCCTCTGCACACAGGGGAACCAGGGCTGCTGCTGGGGCTGGTGCTGCTATCCCAGGAGTGAGGCACTGAATGCAGAGGGCTGCTGCAAGTGAGATTCCACCCGTTCTCAAGGGGCTGGCATGTGGAGGTGGTGTAGAAGGTCACCAGCCTCCCATGCAGCTGTTTCATGGAGGAGGAAATATCTTGCTCAGGCTCCTTTGGATTCTGAAATTGAAGCACTGCCTGCTTCTCCTGCAGGTAGGAGTGAGGTTCCACAGGAAAGGCTCTGCACTCAGCTTGCTCTCCTGGCCCACGGGTGATGCTGGATGTGCTGCCCTTGGGAAATGCTGGAGAAGGCAGGAGCTGCTGCCAGAGCACTGCTGGTGCTGGGCAATCTGTGTTTTCTTTGCAGTCCCTGGTGAGTATTAGAGGATATTTTTGTGGTGTGGTCCTTAGCACGCAGCATGTCCCAGTTTTGTCCTGTTCAACCAAAGCCCTCTATCACCCCATCTTCATGTGGGGTCCCAGTGTGGTGTGAGGACTGTCACCATCCCCACGAGCACATCTCCCCGACATGAGCAGCAGAACCTAAGTGGATGAAGGCTGAACCCCTCTTGTACTGCAGGAGGCTGCAGACCTGCACACCATGCAGGTCCAGGTCAGCCTGGTGAGCTCCTGTGCTGACTGCTGGCTCACTCCCCTCCCTCTCTCCTGTTCAAAGTACCAGGGTGCTGCTTCCTTCTCGGGTAAACAAGCAGAAGTACCTGTTCCTGAATCCAAGCATGTGTTGCCATGACAGCAGCTCAGGGTGATGGGTGAGCAGGAGGTGAAGCCATCCCAACCATCTCCCTTGGAGGGATGAAATAGAAGATCCTGGCATGCTCTCCCAACAGCCCTTCTCTCCCTGACCCACTAGTCTGGGGCTTCTGAGGGTGAATGAGGGCTTCTCTGTCCCATCATGGGGCTCTCCCTGGTGCTCTCCTCTGCCCAGCCCTGCTTGTTCCTAAACGTTGCCTTTGGTCTTGGCCACATGTCACATTACATCTTCTGGACTGGAAAGTGGAGGGGAAATACAGGAGAGGATTTAGGTTTATCCTTCTTGGAGCCAGATAAAGTCTGTCACAGAGACTGAATCCCTCTGCCTACTTGCCTGGATGGATTATCTGCAGTTGTAGCAGGATCTTTGATCTCCTCCAGG